GTGTTATTTTTTTTTTTTTAACATGTAATAAAATAGATGAACACCAGCATGTGAAATGGCACTTTCTTTCCTTCTTTTATTCTAAATGCAAACCCTGGGCCTGACAGTCTCATTGGTGACTTTTCACAGGTACCTCACTCACAACGATAATGGCATTCTGGGTAATAGATAGCACGGAGTTGGGAGGTGAAGGGGTGTGGGTCACCAAGGAACAACCCAGTGGAAATCCAGCTCCAGCGTAAGGCCAACTCTCCCCACCGAATAGCACCCCGGCCACTGTCTAAGACAGCGTCACCCAAAAGTTGAGAATGCCACCTATAGAATTCTTCAGGAAGACTAAGCTATGGCATCGGCGTTCTGTACATAAAAGGTGTCCAGCAGATATTTTTGAGTTACATCACAGTGTGCAAACTCAAGTGTCTTCGGGATCCACACTGGTAATGTGGATGAGAGAAGCAGGTCACAAATGAACGTGGCACACTTGAGGGCAGCCACTGCGCAGCTTCAGCTGGCTGGTCATTGCCACGTGGGAATACAGCTCAGGCACTTCTGGGATCTTCTGGTTATTCAGAAAACAGAAACCCAGGTAGATATGTGACCCTCCCAATTTTTAAAATATGAAGTCCCCTAAATTTTAAAACTTGTATACATCCCAAGTGAAATGTTTCTGTGGACCAGATAAGTCCCAGAACTCCAGTCGGCACCCCCCGTCCCATGTGCCCCTCGGACTTGAACAGGTTTCGCACCAAAGCCAGCGTCCTGCCAGAGAGCCTGTTCAGGGACCCGAGGCCCTCGACAATGGCGCAGGGAGGCCTGGGAGCCGAGCGCTCTTCAGGCGGGTCTCCTCCTCACACTCAGCTGCCTGTCTCCCTGAGTAGGCCTCCCTGACCTCCACGTGTCCACTGCACACAGATTGCAAGAGCAGGTCTTTGGTGGCGGCACTGAAGACAACATGGTCTTTACTAGAGCTTGTCCTCGGCCACGGGAACATCACGGTCACTGAGTCCACATCCAGGAAGTGTAATCCAAGTTCATCCCGGCCTCCCTAAAAGAAGTGGAGTTTCCTTCCCTAGAGGACATTTTCAGCTGACCAGGAGCTAATAAGAAGCCCCAATACCACCCCCCCAATTTAGTCCCCATAAGGGCCCAGGCAAACACATCTAGGGATCCTCGAGGATATATGACAAGAAGGGTGATCACCCCAACCCCCTGCATGGTACTAGAAATATGTTTTAAACTCTCCACTTTTGGGTGACTCCTAAGAAGACTCATGACCAGGCTCTCTTCCCCTGCTCATTATGCCCAACAATAACGCTTCCTGAGCCCTTAACATGCAGAAGGGCCTAGAGGGTGGCCTAAGGAAGATGCTGGATACCACTGCCTCTTCGTGAATACTTCAGAATGATTGTTGCTTGTGAGTCAGCACTTAGGAATTTTTTAAAGATCCAAAGTATCTCTGCCTTTGCTTTATTGACCTCCCAGTGAGAATCTGAACCCAAGTGAGGGGGGACAGCATGACCTTTGTTTTTGAGACTATCACATTGTGCAATAGTATTACCTGGAATCCTGTTAAAGTGAAGCCAGTTGTAAGCAGAGGTTGGAGCAGTGACATCATTCTTTGTCACCAGGGACACTTTTGTGGGTGAAAGGTACACACTCGCAGTGTTGGCCAGAACACAGTGTTCGGTTCCCAGAGCCTACTGGGGCCTGTCCACCTTGGACATTTTACACTTTCCAATTAGAAACTTGGAAACTCTCCTTCCCGGCCTGCCGGCTCCCTCAGCCTCTCACCTCCCCACGCCTCCTGATTCTGGGCAGCATCAGGACGGACAGAGGCACCAGCACACAACCTCGGCCCCTCAGTTTGCACGTGTGTTCAGACAATCAACTCGAAAGACTGATTTTTCTCCTTTAAAGGGGGTTAGAAATTGTGCCCATAGAAATCGCTGCACAAATCATAATTTAAAAGTGCAAATGAGTATTTTTATAAACATAGGCTAATATCCAAGTAAATCATTCAACAGGTGTCTGATTTCAAATGTGTATTTGGAAACATGTAATCTGCATAGATAGGATGCTATAGGCACCAGAATAATTTGGGGATAAACCTAGGAAATGTCAGCATAAGAAATGGAAGCTAATGAGAATCAGAATAAAAATGGATAAGATTAATCAAGTGCAGTGACCCACCCTAAGAGATGATTGGTTAATGTGTTGCTGACTCATACACCCACTCTACAAGCATTTAGTGGGTCCCTGTTATGGACCAAGAGATGAGCTCAGCACTAGTGTGATCAACTTTTCCAAGCCTCTACTAGGAAGTCAGGTCAGACGTTCAAGGAAGGCTGACTGGAAAAACCTGGACAAAGGAGGTCTTCTCCTTGTGTTTTAACTTTTCAACAATAATTATTTTGTCATTACAGTTCATGGGGCTGCATGAAGTCCATAGAGAGGCAGCTAACAGGAAGGAGAAGTCACCTAGCATCACCCCGGCACTAGTCCAGGGGAGGTGGCGACTGGCCAGCGCAGGTCTCCTGGTCAGCGCGGCTGCTCTCTCCCCAGAGCGCACGGAGTGCCATGTTGTAGTATGTGTATATAGCTGGTGGGCCATTCCACATGATCGTCAGTTTCCCTTTGCACAGATGTCATGCTTTTATGAAGCTATAAGCTCCATGAGGGCAGAGTTTCTGTTTATCTTGGTCATCACTGTCTACCCAGTACCTGGCACACAGTAGGCAATAATTATTTGCTGCTTTTTCATCTAGCAATCCTGATAAATATCTGGCTCCCCATGCAAACTTTTCTATGGAGATGGGGCGGGGGGGGGGGCACAAAGAAAGCGAGCTAAATAGAGGATCTGAGTCTTCTAGTTCATGTGGAGCACTGAGATCACCTGGAAGTCTTGTTAAAACACAGGCTGCTGCCCTGACCAGTTTGGCCCAGCGGTTGAGCGTCGGCCTGCGGACCAGAGAGTCCGTCCCGGGTTCAGTTCCCACTAGGGGCACGTACCACAAAAAAAAAAACAAAAACAAAAAACAAAAAAAAAAAAAAACACAGACTGCTGCGGCCCATTGCCCAGTTAGAACCAGAATTGGAATTTGCATTTCTGACAAATTCCTGGGTGTTGCCACGTTTCGAGAAGCACTGACGGAGAAAAGGCATCCAGAGTCACACATGGTGTGTGCTTAGTTAGAGTAGTTCAGCTCTTGGGCGCTGATTATCTTTTATTAACTGCGCCTCAGATCTTCGATCTGGGGGACTCAAAGTGCCCGCTCCAGGAAAGACCCAGCACAAAGCCGCACTGCTCACCCTCAGCCCGCAATTGTTCTTGAAAATGCACATTCACGGCACGTATTTATTTTCTAGATATACACATACTATCACTTGCGATAGCGAACTGCAAAGCAATCCTAGAGAGTGTCTAGTCCAACCTCTTTATTTGATGAAAGAAAAACGGACACCAGGGAGGTTGAGTACATGCCAAAAGTCACACAGCTCGTTGGCATCACTAAGCTCCCACCGAGCGCTTAAAGGAAGCGCTTCTAGACCAGTGGTCCTCAGGGTGTGGGCCTGGGCCGGCAGCAGCATCACCTGGACACTTGCTAGACGTGCAAATTATCAGGCCATGCCCAGACCTACTGAATCAGAACCGCTGGGACGGGCCCAGCAATCTGTGTTAACAAACCCTCCTGGCGATTCTGATACAGCTCAGCTCGAGAACCAGCAGCTCGGGGCAGTGCTTCTCAGCTCTACTGTGCAGAAGAAGCACCTGGGGCGCCACGGCTTGCGGTCCACACACCCGTCTCTGAGTAGCAAGGGACTCTGGAGCCGTGGCTCCCCAACACTGCTGCACATTAGAATTAGTTGTAGTTGGGGAGCTGTCAAAAAATCCAAAGCCCAGGCCACCCCGTACCAATTACATAAGATTTCTCTAGGAGTGGGAGGCAGACATCAGTATCTTTTTAGAGGCCTCCAGGTGATTCCAGTGTGCAGCAAAGTTCGGGGACCACTGGTAGAGAACAAAGATCAACATGAAACGTTAAGCTCTTGACAAAGATTCTCTCCTCGACCAAATTCTATGCCAGGCTCCTCAAAGCTCTCTTGTCGACCTGGCCTCAACCTGTCCTATGTGAACAGTCCTGGCTGGTTTTCTCAGTGGTTAGAGCATCAGCCCTCCAATCTCAGGTTCGATTCCCAGGCAAGGACACATACTTGGCTTGTAGGTTCGATCCCCAGCCCCAGTCAGGGTCATGTGAGAGGCAACCGATCGATGTCTCTCTCTCACACTGATGTTTCTCCCTCCCTCCCTCCCTTCCACTCTATCTAAAAATCAGTGGAAAGATAGCCTCAGGTGAGGATTGACCAAAAAAAAATTATATATAATTTTATATATATATATATATTCTTACCACTTTAGTGTCCAGCTTTGTTTGCCTTTGACATTGCTCATATAACCAATTTCAGAGCCGTTCCCTATGAAGGTACCATCTGAAATGGGAAGAAAGTCATGTTTTTGTCCTATGAAATAAGTATGGGCAAGCTGCCAGTGAGCACAGCTTTTGTTTGACTACAGGGTCCAGAAAAATGAGAAAATCCCTAGACAGGGAGACTTAAACGTACGGAAGGACCAGAGGGGCCTGCTGGACTGAGAGCCTCTGACCAAGCGCAGCCGTGAGCAGTTCAGTCCCGTGGAAAGCGCACGGGCTCAGTTAGAGCCAAGACGACCTGGACTCGTCCACTTACAAGCTGTGTGACCTGGAGCCTCAGTTTCCTCGTTTGTAAACTGTACGCCATCGTGCCTGCCTCAAGCTGCCTGCCTTCTCATAGCGGCGGCTCCTCCAAACCCGCTTTTCCAGTCAAATTGGAATCTTCAGGACCCTAGAAAAGCGGAGTCCACACGCATATGCGTTTAGGCTCCAGGATAATCAACCAATGTTCCAGGGGTCAATGAAGTCACACGGGATATGCTTTTTTTTTTTTTTTTTTTCAGAGACAAGCACAATTTATTTCTACATTACATTTCATATCACAAGCTGAACCACAGGAGCTGCCTCAACCCCCCATTTGTATTCTTTGGTGAATCATAAACCCCTGTGAGAATCTGATAAAAATGATGGGCTCTCCCCCGAAGGAAAACATGCACACGCATAAGCACACAGATTCGGCACACCATTCCCAGGGCTCGGAGCCGCCCTGGAGCACCCCCGTGCACGCCGCCGAGGCCCTGGCCTACACCATGGCCTGCAGAGGGCAGCAGGGCAGCTGGAGCCCGCACTGAGAGCCGCACTCGGGGAAGCTGGGCACGCTGTAGAACTTGATGAGCTTTCTGAAGGCACTATTCTTCAGCATCATCACGTCTTCCGGAAACCGAGAGGAGACTTTGACCCGGGAGGAGCCCCCGTTCCTCACAGAGCCGTCGGCGGGCAGAGGCCTCTGTGCGCTCACAGGCACGCTGCTGCAGCTGAGGGACCGCACGGCCCTCTTCTTGTTCTGCACGGACAAGTAACTGAACAGGAAGGAGGACGCCTTGTGTTGGGTGACGTCCGGGGCCTCTTCTGAAAAGCAGTCATCTGGAGGGTCCAGCAGGTTTTCAAGGTGACAGCCGTCTTCCTGCCTCAGGGGACTGGCTCCCACACGCTGAGGCTGCTTGATGATCCTTCTGGCCTGGGCTAGGTCATCTTCGGCCCCACTGATGGGCTGAAGGGACATGCCACTGGTCAGGGCTCTGGGGCCCCTGGTTTGGGGCATGAGGTTCCTGACCTGCGGGCTAGGTTGGGAAGTACAGTGCTGACTCAGGATGAGCGTGGCGGCATCGCGAATGAGATTCCAGTCTCTCAGGATGTCAGCCCTGGTGGTGAACTGGGATGTCACAGTGAAGCGGATGATCAGCTTGTCCTGGATGGTGGCCGGGATGAGGAAGAGACGGCCAGCTTTAGCTATTTCCTCTAACACGCTTTCCGTCAGACAATTAGGACCCTGTTTGAAAGAGAGAGAGAAGTCTGCACCACGGCCCCTGTAAGCACCCCCAGGAGCCCAGCACTGGTGTTTCCGAGATGCTAAGGGATCACCAAAGAACACTGTTCACAGCCACAGAAGATGACATTACCTTTAGACGAAAAACCACCAGGCCAAGGTGCCTCTGGGCAGGAATTTCAAAGAAAGGGTCGTTTCTGACCAGAGATTCAAAATATTTAGCCATTTCGGTCCCCTAGAATTGTAAATAGAGAACTGAGATGAATAGTCAGGCAAGGGACAAGCATGCATAAACTGTCACACTGCTGGATGGGTATAAGCCAGGACACCTTTGAACCACTGAGATCTCAACGCTGCTGCCAAATTTTCTTCTCTTTGATTGTGCCCCTATTCCAAGCTGAAAACCTCCCACAGCTCCCTGTTTCTTGTCATTTCAAATCTACCTCCAGAACTCATGTCTCAGGGCCCTCTTCCAACTCACCCCCCGGAACCGGGAGGCACGTATTTTGCATTCGAGGCAATCTGGCCTCGGATCCTGGCTTCACAGCCAAGACAAGTGAGGGCCGAAACCCGCGCTCTGCATTCCCAACAGGTGCCTCGCAAGGGTTGCAGCTGGTTTCTGTTGCTAAAGGCACCAGGTGGGCAGTGGGTGCTCTGCCCCCACCCGAAGCCTACATCTTTCCCCTGCCTCTGAACCTTCTCACCTCACACGCCCTTGCATCATCCATCCCCATTTTCCCGATATTCCTCCAAGAACATATGTTACATATCATCTCCCCATACACTATGGAAAGGCTTTGCACCTGTTTAATGAATACAGAGGTTCTGCTTGGGATGATGGGAAAAGAGGAAATTGATCGTAGTGATGGTCGCGTACATTGTCAGTGCACTTAATGCTACTTTATTGTAAACAAAAATGCTTAAACATTGTAAATTTTGTCACGTATATTTTACCACAATAAAAAAAATGTAAGCTTTGTATCCTATTAATCTTTCACTGAAATGTAGTCACTTAAAAATGTTTCCGATGTTATTTTTTTTTTTTTTCCCACATCTTTATTGTTGGATGTAAAATGCATTACAGATGTTCCACATTTTTCCCCCATTGACCCCCTCCTCCCCACTCCCGCCCCCCTCCCACCTTTTCCCAAACTATTGTCCGTGTCCATTGGTTATGCATATAAGTTCTTTGGTTTATTTCTTCCCACCCCCCCAACCCCTTTCCCTTTGAGGTTTGTCAGTCTAGGAATGAATTTGTGCTTCTTACTCCCTTCACCTTTTTCATCCATTCCCCCAACCCCTTTCCCAACTGGCAACCAACAAAATGTTCTCTGTATCTATGAGAATGTTCCTGTTCTTCCTGTTCATTTTGTTTGTAGATTCCATTGTTGATAGATATGTATTCATTGCCATTTTGTTTGTTCATACATTTTATCTTTTTCTTTAAAAAGACCCTTCATCATTTCATATAATAACGGTTTGGTAGTGATGAACTCCTTTAACTTTTTCTTGTCTGGGAAAGTTTTTATATGTCCATCGATTCTAAATGACAGCTTTGCAGGATAGAGTAATTTTGGTTGTAGGTTCTTGGTTTTCATCACTCTGAATATTTCTTGCCACTCCCTTCTGGCCTGCAAAGTTTCTTTTGAGAAATCAGCTGACAGCCTAATGGGAACTCCCTTGTAGGTAACTAGCTGCCTTTCTCTTGCTGCTTTTAGGATTCTCTCTTTGTCTTGAACCTTTTGCATTTTGATGATGATGTGTCTTGGTGTAGGCCTCTTGGGGTTCATCTTGTTTGGGACTCTCTGTGCTTCCTGGACTTGTATGTCTGTTTCCTTCACCAAGTTAGGAAAGTTTTCTGCCATTATTGTTTCAAACAGGTTTTCGATTTCTTGTTCTCTCTCTTCTTCCGGCACCCCCAAGATGCAAATGTTGGCACGCTTGAAGTTGTCCCAGAGGCTCCTTACACTATCCTCATTTTTTTGGATTCTTTTTTCTTTTTGCTGTTCTGGTTGGGCGTTTTTTGCTTCCTTATATTCCAAATCGATGGTTTGCTCCTTGGATTTACGTACTCTATTATTGAAGCTATGTAAATTATTCTTTATTTCAGTTAAAGCCTCCTTCGTTTCTAACTGTGCAGCGATCGTTTCTGACTGGTACTTTTTTATGCTCTTGAGGCCCTCACTGAGTTCATTGAGCATCCTTATAAGCAGTATTTTGAACTCAGCATCTGTTAGGGTGCTTATCTCCATTTCACTTAGTTCTTTTCTTGGGGTTTTGTTCTGTTCTTTCATTTGGGACCTGTTTCTTTGTATCCTCATTTTGGCTGCCTCTCTGTGTTTGTTTCTGTGTATTACTTAATGAGAGGTATGGGGCTCGCTGAGACCCGATGCTGCTTGTTTGAAAGAATTTAGGAAAAACCTGAAGCGGGATCCAAGACAGGCCAATCCTATGGTTAAGCAAGTAGCAACAGCTTAGGTGGGCTTGAAAGTTGTGTGGGGCGGGGCGGGGCGGGGCCTCAGGGAGTCAGCAGGGTGGGGCTACCAGTGTGAGCCAGGTTGCTGGAGTCCCAGATATGGCTTCTGTCTGCTGCTCCAGGGAAGGGCTCACCAAAGGAACAAAGGCCTCTTACAGCACGTTTGTCCCCGAGAAAGCTCCCTCTCCAGCCCTCGCTCCAGTGCCAAACAGCTCAGTTCTTTTCTGTATGTCTCTGGTGCCCCTCGAGCTGCCTCCGAGCTTAGAGGGAGAGAGTCCGATAAGTCCGTGCGTGGGCCCTTTAGGGAGCTGCCTGTGGCTCCAGCCAGGTCAGCTTCCCTGAGCCTCAGTTTCTGCTGGTTTTTCCAGCCAGAAGTTATGGGGATTCTCTTCCTGGCACTTGTTTCCGATGTTATTTTCACGAAGGAATACTAACTAAACAAGAATAGGACTGGCCTTTTCTTTATTTCTTAAAATTTCTCCAAGCCTCCCAAAGGATCTCAATACAATATTTGCTAAGTAATTGCTATCACCCGGTTCTCACACCTGCTACTCTATTTCAAGAGAAGGCAGGGGATTTAGCTAATGATGCCTTTGACTATGACGAAACAAATGGATGCTAACCTCCTCGAGAACCCTCTCTCTCTGCTGCGTGGTCTCTTGAAAACAGTCTCCAGTCACTGCCCCAAGAACTTTTCACTGGCGAGTCCTAAGGCTCTCTCTCAGGGAAAGCACCCTGGTATATATTTTCTAGCTGCTTTATGTCATGTCCTGCTCGGTATTTCTCTAGCTCACAGAGAGACCTGAACAGTCAACTCCCAGGAGGCCTCGAACAGTCCCAGACACCTGAGCCTACGACACAGGTCCCCTGGGCAGGTCTGCAAAGCACAGACCAGCCTTCCTCCCCACTAGGACACAAAGCAAGCCCGGCTTCAGCCCACAGTTCGCACACAAACTACTACATACATGTCTGACGTGTGCTTGCAGATTCTTCACCCCGAAGGACCGGATCACAAACCAGAGCTTAATAGAGCGAAACCGCCGGCTCAGAGGAATCTGCCAGTGCTGAAACAGAGAACACAGCGCCCAGGTCAGAGACGAGGGGCCCGCTCCCTCGCCACTCCCGGGCCTTACCCCCTTGCCAGCCCAGCCCTCGGGGATGGTCGGTGTCACCGGAACTCTGAGGCCGTTGCTAAGGAGCAGCCAAGGCAAGTTACCCAAAGGCTGCCCCATCAAGTGACAAAGTCACTGGTGAAAGTCACCAGTGCATAAGCCCTCGTCCAAGAGCAGGACAAGTGGAAACCAAGTCCATGACCCTGAATGAAGGAGAAGACACTTTATGTTTAAGTACAGCTTTAAACATGTCATCCCAGGCTGAAACTCAAGATAAGGGCAATACTTTTTTTTTTTTTTTTTGGTTAATCCTCACCCACGGATATTTTTCCACTGATTTTTAGATAGACTAAAGGGAGGGAGAAACATACATGTGAGAGAGATACATCAATTGGTTGCCTCCTGCATGACCCCAACTGGGGCTGGAGATCGAACCTGCAACCCGAGTACATGCCCTTGACTGGGAATCAACCCCGTGATCCTTCAGTCCACAGCCAATGCTCAAACAGCTGAGACAAACCTGCCAGGGCTTTTTTTGTTTCCTAAAAGAACCTCACTTCTTTGAATAGCAGAAAATTAAGTTTTATTTTTATTTCCCAACCCTGCCCCCGCCCAACACACACACACACACACACTGTAAAGTATAGTGGTCAAGAGCTCGGAGGCTGGAGCCCCACAGACCTGGGCTTTTTCTCCAGCTCAGCCATATCTGGGCTGTGACCTTGGGCAGTGCCACCTCACTGGTCCCTGTGAGACAGAAAATGAACAGCAGCCCCAGGGAAGTGATTCGAGGAGAACAGATGCTAAGAGTGTCACAGGAAGTCGTCAGCCAGTGTTGGCTATTTACACAAACGGTGAGCTAAGGATCACAGTAGTATTTGTGCCTAGCGCCAAGATGATCATTATTTAATCTCACTTTCTTGTCCTAACATTTTCCTGGGACATTCCTGTGCCGAGCATCTGCATTTCAGCCTCTGTTAGACTAAAATTGACCTTTTTTCCTGGTGACTGTATTCAACAGAGCTTAAAGTTCAGGGTTATAGGCATCCTCGATTTGAAAAATTCCAAAGCAGCCCTGGCCAGTTTGGCTCAGCAGTTAGAGCGTCGGCCTGCGGTCCGGAGAGACCCGGGTTCGGTTCCCGCTAAGGGCACGTACCTCGGTTGCAGTTTGTCCCCGGCCCTGGTTGGTCGTGTGGGTGGCAGCCACTCGATGTGTCCCTTCACGTCGATGTTTCTCTCACTCTCTCTCTCTTCCTCTCTCTCCCTCCCACTCTATCTGTACAAAAAATGGAAAAATATCCTCGGGTGAGGATAAAAAAAAAAAAAAGAAAAATCCCAAAGCAATATTAAACCGATTTCTTGGATCTGGAACCAGAGCAAAGGGTGTGGAAACATTTACAGTTATTCTGATGGCTAATGTGACCTCTTCCTCAAATGTCAGGAAGCTTCGACCACAATTTCTGTTGACTAAAAGTAAATATTTACCTCACCGAATATTTATCCACTCATCCACGGGATTGCCAAATCCTCAAAAACATGCTCACCTTCATCTTTTACCCAGCTTCTTGGCCCAGTACAGTTGGGACATCACCCCTTTCCTGAGACCGTGTGTCTCCCACTTCAAGTACTACTAAGCCTTTGATTTCTAAGCAAATCTCTCCTGTTGAGGACCAGCGTAGAGACTTTTGTTTACCAGCAGAGGGCATCCAAACTCGGACACCGCACCCAGACCCTGTTAACAAGGCAGGCAGCAACTCCACCGCTTGTCAGATGGACACTCGGGAGAATAATGAATGGATGATAGGAACCTTCTCGAAAAGACATTGTTTTCCCGATGGTTATAAATTAGCTATTTTATTTCACCAGCACATTAAAGGAGAGGCAGAGATTAATTTTTTTCTTCCCTCTCTGTCCATATCCCCAGTTATTCCTCTGCTCACTATTTTAAAACCAACCTATGGCCCTGGCCAGTTTGGCTCAGCGGTTGAGCGTCAGCCTTCGGACCAGAGAGTCCCAGGTTTGGTTCCCGCTGGGGCACGTACCACAAAAAAAACAAACAAAAAAAACCAACCTATGCTGACCCAGCTGGATGGTTCTAGCTGGGTTTTGGTTTGTTTTTGTTTTTAACAGTAAGTTTGGACTTACAAAAAATGACATGGCTCTTCTTTAACTCAAGGCATTCCCAACCCTCCACTGTGCACTTCCAAGGACTTGCAGGTCTCCTCTGCCAAGGGCGAGGCAATGCCCCATTTACTGTGAGGGGGCAGCCCCGATGTCAGAGAACCTAGGCCTGATTTGGGGTGGCTCCTGGCCCCCGGGGATGAAGTCCCTTAGTCTTTTCTCCCAGTATGCTGTGGGCTTCTGTTTAAAGGGGCAGCCACCTGGGTAAAAAAGAGCTTCAGGCACAGGTCAGAGCAGTAGGGAAGATCCCTGGGGTCACAACAAATAGCAGCTTTAGTTTTCTAGGAGTTTCTTTGGAGACTTGAAAAATTAAAGCCACGGGATTAGAGATGAGTGAAGAGAAAGCACAAAGCGGCACTTTTTAGATGAAGAAATATAAACAGTAAAGTTCCAGATTCATAGATACAGAGAACAGACTGGTGGTTGCCAGAGGAAGTGGGATGGGGGATGGGTGAAAAGGTGGAGGGATTGAGAAGTACAAATTGGTCATTACAAAGCAGTCATGGGGCCCTGGCCAGTTTGGCTCAGCGGTTAGAGCGTCAGCCTGCGGTCCTGAGAGACCGAGTTCGGTTCCCGCTAAGGGCATGTACCTCGGTTGCAGTTTGTCCCCGGCCCTGGTTGGTTGTGAGGGTGGCAGCCACTCGATGTGTTCCTTTCACATCGATGTTTCTCTCTCTCTCTTTGTTCCTCTCTCTCCCTCCCACTCTACCTGAACAAAAAAAAAAAAATGGAAAAATGTCCTCCGGTGAGGATAAAAATAAAAATAAAACAAAGCAGTCATGGGGGTACAGCACAGAAAATATAGTCCATGATATTCAGAAAATATAGTCCATGATATTGTGATAACTATTTATTTCCAGGTGGGTACTGGAAATATTGGGGGAACCACCTTGTAAAGTATATGATCATCTAGCCACGATGGTGTCCATCTGAAACTAATACAAAATAATATTGAATGCAAACAGATAAGGAAGTCAAGACCCACCAAGTTTCCCAAGGCCCACTGCTGCCTCCCCTTGGCCTTGATAAGCAACTTATTTGTGTACACCTCTGTCGGCCCTATAGTTATAGAAAGGGCTCGACTCCAAACTGAGGAGGAAATCTGAACCCGTTTCCCGAAGACAGAGCACAGGCTGAAAACACGGGCAGGTTGGAGAGGCTGAGATGCAGTGGAGAAAACGCCGAGGATGTCCAGAGGCATCTGGGAACTCCAGCGGGACAGACCCGTGGCCCCGCCCGCGATGGCCTCCGGCAGTGCCTCCGCGGGGACAGCAGGAGAAGGAAACTCTCCACCCTACCCTGCTGCTGGGGAGCAGACAGAAAAGATTATCCAGGACAGAGGGAAAAAAGAATGGGTCCATTCTCAAGAAGGGGACATTTCTGGGAATAAAAAAAAAAAATTGCCACAAATATTTAAGAAACATGCAGACTGCCTCCAAAGTTGGTCTCATTTTTAGGGCTTTTTTTTTTTTTTAATTCCCCACCTGAGGATATCTTTCTACTTATTATCAGATAGAGTGGGAGGGGGGGAGAGAGAGAGAGACAGAGAGAAACATCGATGTGATAGAGCGACATCGACTGGTTGCGTCCTGCACGACCCGACCAGGGCCGGGAACAAACCACAACTGAGGTACGTGACCTGGGCCAGAATCAAACCCACGACGCATTGGTCCACGGGCCGACACTTTAACCACTGAGCCAAATTGGCCAGGGCTCATTTTTAGGGTTTGTAAAGTGTTCTGGCTTTCAAGCTGGGCACAGCCTGAAACCAAAGGAATATAGTAGCAATATGATGGGGTGGACTCCCAGTGTGCCACTCTCTGACCAGGGCTGCCATGCGGGAGACCCGTGGGGGTCGCATTCTGGTTCAGAGGCCACCTGGCTGCCCGTTCCTGGCCACTCACCATGAAGTCGGTGGCCGCACCCGAGTTGGCATGCCTGAGGTAGACGGGGTTCACGCTGAAGGTCTGCTGCAGCTTGTACTTGTCCTTGACCCTGCGGGTTTCCAAGTGGGCATGGATGGCTGAGGCCTCCTCAGAGGAGGAGGCTGTCCCGAGGGCCGGGTGCTTGGCTGCCACACTCACCAGAACCCGGTGCAGTCAAAGTGCACCATCATCCACTTGGAAGGATTGAAGGTGAAGGAATCCGCATACTCAATGCCCTGCAGAAAGCTCCGGAATTCGGGGCACAGGAAGGCAGTGCCCGCGTAGGCGGCGTCAATGTGCAGCCACAGCCCTTCCCTGGCACCTGCGGAGGCAAACGTCACCTGGCTTCGAGGTGGACTGGGGGTGAGAGTGGGTCAGCACCCGCCGAGAGGCATCCCCTGTCCGGCCCAGCTGGCCGGGGGGCTACCAGAGAAGAGCTGGGGCAGACTGGCCTGCTTTGGCTCCATGGGATGTGTGGTGTGGGGAGGGGGGCAGAATGGGGCCCCCCGCCTCTTAAAGGGAAGCCTGCAGAGCCCCACCCGAGCCAGAGCTCAGCACCCTGCTGGCCTCATCCTGGAGCTTTCTGACAGAAACCACCTGCCCGCAGCCCAGAGAGCAATGGGAATGTATCTAAGACACACATTAGAGAGGGATGTCCCTCTTTCCTAGCTGGTGTCTTGCCCGGAGACTTAAACAATCGCATCTGGGTGTTTTGTTTTTTTCCTGCCTTGACCTCCTCCAGTGGTTTCGCCTCCCCTGTACTTTCCTCCGCCTAGACTAGAAGATGGTCCACTGTGCCTCTCTCCCTGTGCTGTGGGATGAGCCTGCTTCAAGCAGATGTCCACATACACATGAAACCTCAGGCTCTCCCACGGTTGCCTCCCGGGACGGGGTGCAAGGCAGAGCCGCTCCAACCCGCGGTCCTACCTCTGCGGAAAGCAGGGACCTGGTTGCCTGGGAGAAGACATTTCTGACCTGTGGTGGTTCTTCCCATACGTTCTATAACCATGGAGGAGCAAGGGAATTCTGCAGAGCTGGTTTAAGGTTCTTGTGCTAGGAAAGATTCTAGAATTCATGACTTGTCTTCCCAGCCAGACAGGGCAGACTTACATATGGGGCCCAGCTCCGACAGGCAGTCAAAGGCACAGACCCCAGTGGTCCCCAGTGTTGCGCAGACCTGGAGGGAAGCACAAGAAGTTAACATGGGGAGGGAGGGAGGTGCTTGTGACACATCTGGCCTGAAAGAAAATGTGATCACAGATGTTATCTACCCCACGCATCCCGCTAGAACAGTGAGTATCTACGTTTGACCATGACCCCCAGTAAGAAATGCAGTTTATAAGGTAACCTAATACATACAAACATGTGTATTTGAAATAAAAGTTTCACCAAACAATACCTACTCTAGCCCCAGGGATGCACTCTGACATTTTTTATTCCATTTCTTTTTTTTTTTTTTTTAATGCTGGTTATAACCCCCAGAATGTATTTCCTAACACACAAATGCTTAGCAACTCATGAATTGCAAAACATCGCGTTTGATGGCCTTTCTGTGTTTGTTTGCAGCACGTTACTTACCTGAGTTCTGCCAAAAGTCCTTCCTCACCTCCAGGCTCTATCATCCTAAGCTCTGAACACATTCTCACTTACAAAGACAGGCACCAAGCCCCGCTGTGTGTCCTCCTCGATGGCTTTCTGAAGAGCTTCCCCACGGAGTGAGAAGTTGTCATCCACAGGCAAAAACTTCATCTTCACGAGAGAAATCAAACCAGCCTTTTCCACTGAGGAGTGAGCCTGGCAGAACCAAGGAGACCTGTTCGCAGAGTCCTCCTGGGAGGAGCATTCCCCAGACACTGCAGGCGCCAGACTACCGAGTAAAGTCTAACATCTGACATGTGTCCCTCCCGGCGGTTCCCGGAGACAGTCCCACGGGCCTGAGCTTCCCTAAGCCCGAGTACAGAAGAAAATTACTCCAGGGCTAAGACTCCAGGAGCCCAGCAGTGACCTGAAGGAATGGCCTGCTCACCTGGTCAGAGGCATAGGCAATGAGCCGCGCATTCAGGGAGGACTCGTCCGCCCCGGGCTCAGACGCTTTCATCTCCAGGATTTTGTTCTTTCTTGCGGCCAGCAAGGCGATCAAGGTGGACTCACTGACTGTGCTCTGTAGTGGAAGAAGGAACACTGGTGGCAGACTCTCCTTGTGTTCTCCTGCCAAATTCCCCAGGCTCTTCATAGGGTGTGTGTGTGTGTGTGTGTGTGTGTGTGTGTGTGGTAGCTATTCTTGAAAAAGCACACAGCTTCTGCCTAAGCTCATGCCTATTCTGCATTCACAGCACCGTAAGCAACCCTGGGACACCTCTCTCTAACTTTTCAGGGAAGTCATGAAGGCAGATTTTCTCCTCCAACCAGCATCTTTATTGGAGAGGCCACAGAGACCAAAAAGAGAATATTTAACCCCTGCTACATAGAAGTTTGCATATAGATATGTATGTTCTTCTTGTAAAACGCACTTAAGAGAAAGTACTCTCAATGTCTTAGGTATGGACGTGGGGTTTGTTTCTGGAGGGATGTCCCAAAGAAAGGGTCCTGGCCTACAGGAGAGGCTGATGACTTTGGCCTCGCTTTTGTTGCCAATGGCTCTTGGGACCTTGATCTCGTATTTTCCCTCTAGATGACTTTTTTCCATTTGTAAAATGGAGAATGTCCCTTTAACTGCCTCCAGGATATTATCCTGATTATCCCCATGAGGGTTGGATAGGATTTTGCTCTGGTTATGACTGTGGAGGTTCTGGGGGCCACCTCAGCAGCCTCACAGAATTGTTATGGTTTCTCATCAGTCACCCACTCTGTCTTCAATGGCTTTTGCTTCTTGAAATCCTCAGGAGACCTACAGCTCCTAGCTCCCTGCTAAGAAGCCTGGCCGACTGTCGTGGGAATGGTACAGGCCATATCCCCCTAGATAGTCAGTGGTTAGATATTACTCCACAACGAGGAAGACAGCAGAGTAGCAGTAATAATACCACCTTATCTTCTGCATAGCAATTTATAATTTACAAAACACTTTCTCTCATCCCGTTTGCCCCACATAAAACCTCTCTGAGGTTCTTGTAATTCTTGTCTATAGATGAGGATAATGCTACTCAGAGAGGTTACAGGACTAAACCAAGTCCCTATGGCTGATAAAACATGGGTTGCACTTACCAGCTGTGTGACCTGGGGTAAGGTTTTAACCTCTCTGAGCTTCAGTGCTCTTATCTCAAAAATTGTGAATGCTGAAATTTACCTACAAGTTTCTTGAGATGAATGGATGAAAAGCAAGATCTGGACAGCAGATCTTGAGCATGTTCTCCCAGATATAACATCTGAAGTTTTAACTACTGACTAACAACCCAGAACATCCACGACATACAATAATTTGTCTTTCTTGTGAGGTTCACCTTCCTGCTGCAAGGTTGAAGTGAGACAGGGAGTCACTTAGCTAACAAGGGGACCCACTGAACTTTCCATTTCTCATCTCAGGGCAGCATGGGTGATTTTACTTAATACAATAATTCTTTTAATCCTCATATCCACTCTGTGAGTATGAGGTGTGAGGGAAATATTATCCTATTTATAGATTATAAAACTAGGAACATTGCACATTATAATAGAATTCAGGAATTTGGGGGTTCTCAAAGTTCTCAGAACCAAGCCCTCATGAATGTCAAGGGTTTACAGATGTAAAGGTACCTAGTGATGTGCAAGGTCTCTGGAAGGTACCCAGAAAGCTCCATTACGCTGTATTACTTTTGAAAAGAAGAAGAAGCAAAAAAAGGAAGAGGAAGAGGAAGAGGAAGAGGAAGAGGAAGAGGAAGAGGAGGAGGAGGAGAAGGAGAAGAAGAAGAAGAAGAAGAAGAAGAAGAAGAAGAAGAAGAAGAAGAAGGAGAAGGAGAAGGAGAAGGAGAAGGAGAAGGAGAAGGAGAAGGAGAAGGAGAAGAAGGAGAAGAAGAAAAAGGAGAAGGAGGAGGAGGGGAGGAGGAGGAGGGGGAGGGGGGAGGGGAGGGGGAGGGGAGGAGGGGGAGGAGGAAGAAAAGAATTTGATAGATATACAAAAGATAAGGTTGTTGGATAAGAAAAACTGACTTGTGCTGTCAATTTCTCTCACTGCCAAGAATCTCCTGAACCTAGGCAGGACGGGAAGACGTCTCTACTTGCTTCTCTTTTCCACTTGCCATAAGGTGTAAAACAGGACAAGGGAGAGGAGTTGTCAGATTGTAAACTAAGAAACCTAAATCCAGTAATACCGGCAATGTGATATGCGTTTTAATTTTTTTCAAGGAAAGGAGAAAGAGTGGAGACGGAGGCAGCTGCAGCGTGAACGGAGTGGAAGTTGACATGGAGTGGTAGCAATGGTGGGGGTTGCCAGGGAGGAGGTGGTAGCTATGCGGTGACAGTGTTGGTGGCGTCAACCATGACAGTGACGGTAATGGCCATGGTGGTGGCGGGGATGGTGGTGTGAGTGGCATGTGGAGGCTCCTTGGGGATAGAAGAATTGCCCAGGCAAGGGTTTGGCTTATCTTTCACTACTTCTCCCCCACGCGAGGCGAGCTTTGCCAGGGAAGCACCTGCAGGACGCCTCCTCCGTGGCTGCCAGGGTGGTGGTGCAGGAAGTGCTCTGGAAGTCCCAGCATCTTTGCCAGCCAGTCCATGACGCTCATCTCCAGCTCTGTGCACGCAGGGCTGGAAGCCTGGAAGAGGATCGCAACCTCGTCTGGATAGCCCCAGGGCACCAAGATGCCCCACCAGCCCCAGAAATACATCTGTCTCTGCCCTAGTGTTCCCCTGGCGGTGACGCTGTCCCTGGAGAAGGGGTCAGTGTCGAGCCCTGTGCCCCAGTCCCACCCCATCCTCTGCCAAACCAAAAAGGGAAAACAATGGGGGGCTTTGGATTCATGCCACCACTGATGAAGTGGGTTCTCCTGGGACTCCAAGCCCTAGAAATGCTTGCTTCTATTTGGCTCCCCAAGCCCCTTAAATACCCAGCTGAGATGCATTCTAAAGGCCAGGGGGATGTTTTAGGACTAAGAAAGCAAGGACCCCTTCCTGGAAAAGATAGCAATTCCCTCCCCCCAACCCCCCAAACACATCCTATGACAGTTCAGGCTTAAAATATAAAGCTGTTCTAGGAGGCTGCTAGCATAATTTAAAGCTATTTAGCTTAAGGCCTTATTAAGGGAAGTCTTAGGGCATATCTGAAACCCCATCAAAGACAAGAGCAGAAGGGAAGTTGTACCCACAGGCACCAAGGTGCTTAATTAGGGCCACAAATTATGGCAATAATCAGATCTCAGTCCAAATCTCATCTCTGTCTCTGAGCTGTGTGATCAGGGGGAGATAAGTTACTTAAGCCTCCATTTCTTCACTTACAATGTGGGGCCAGTACTCACAATTCTATGGTGTTAAAGATAAGATAATGTATGTAACGCTTAACTTCAAAGAATGCAGCCATACTAACATCTCACTTGAAACCCTGTTCAGAGACCAGGACCAACTACGTGTGGCCCAGGATGTCACTCCCTGCAATGTTCCCCATTGCCACTGGTGACAGATACGGCGTGGCTACTCACCCAGGTGAATCCCAAGCAGTTGATGGCATCGGCCAGCATGTCTCCCAGCAGTGATGGCCAAGAGGTGAGAGCTGGGTAGTAGGCGTGCATGTGGGGGCTCTGCCAGTGTACCACCTGGAGGCAGAGCATGTACACAGGTGACACCAGGAACCATGTGCAGGAGGCTTTCCTCCTCCAGAGACCCTCCCTGGCAAGGGGAAGCACCCAGTCTAGAGACGGGCTGACATATTTAAGACAGCCAAATAAGTGACGCAACTCCATAAAAATAAGACCTGTTTGTGTTGTCCTTGCCACCCACTTTTCTCATATTCTAGGCTAGTTCTTCAGTGGAGCACTTGCACATATGCAAAGACCAGAAGGAAATCTGTAAAATGAAAATTGCTGTAGTAATTAGAGTTGGGGATTCTGAGTAATGTTCACATTAGCCTCCAATGCTGATCTCCTACACCACCCCTGCCCAGGAATAAAAAGACAGGGAGACTACTGGGGACAGCAGGTTGCTTGTCTCATCCACTGTCTTGCAAAAAGCAGCCTCTGCGCTATGGATCGCTGAGCTCTCTGGCCACGCAGCTCCTGCAGAGGGTCAGTGTGAATGGGTGCAAAGCTGTCCTTAGCTTCCCAATGAGGATGGAGAGAGGAGAAAAGAGGGCAGGAGATGTGCCAGCCTGTGGGCATGGGACCCCTGTCTCCAGGCTAACCCCCCAGCCCTCCATCAGATTAAACCGGAGGTGAGGAGGAACCAGGTGGACAAGGAGGGCCCCTATAACAGGTCTCTGAAGCATCGTCAGTCTCGTGAGCCTGGCTGATTATCTAATCTGGCTTCATCTCACTTTTCTGCAAACATACCCTGCTCATTTCTGCATTTGTGTCTTAGAGCAATGCTTTTTTTTTTTTTTTTGTATGGTCTCTGTTAAGATCCATTCTTGCCCTGGCCAGTTTGGCTCAGCGGTTAGAGCGTCGGCCTGCGGTCCGGAGAGACCAGGGTTCGGTTCCCGCTAAGGGCACGTACTTCGGTTGCAGTTTGTCCCCGGCCCTGGTTGGTTGTGTGGGTGGCAGCCACTCGATGTGTCCCTTCACGTCGATGTTTCTCCCTCTCTCTCCCTCCCATTCTATCTGTACAAAAAAAATGGAAAAATATCCTCGGGTGAGGATTAAAAAAAAAAAGTAAAAAAAAAAAAAAAGATCCATTATTAATTTTATTTTCTTAGAGGGGTTCTTAAAATTTGTATAGGATTCAGACCCCATAAAACCAGGATCTTCCCCTGTACCTCTCTCAACCTCAGTTTCTCATCAAAAATTAAATCCCGTCTCCAAGGGTTGCTGTATAAATTGGTCTGGAGGAAATTAGTAACATGTAAAGTGCTATCGTTAATGATAATCACCTGGTGATAGACACAGCCCACATCCTACTTGACTCTTAGATAAGATAATCAGACCTTTTCCTCCCAATTTCACTGGGCAGAAGGCACTGTGGGTAATAACAATATCTTCCATTCTCCATGATTTATCTTATTTAATTCCCACAGCTCCCCTATGAAGTAGGTTCTGATTTACAGATGAGAATAGGGGCTGGCAGAGAGGCGGCGTTCCCGTGACCACGCACCCCACGGAGGGGCAAATGACAGCACCCAGAGAGACACCCAGCCTGTCCCACTCCTAAAGCCCAAACCCTTAAAGCAGAGCCCAAACCCCTAGAGCAGGCTGGCATCCCGCCTTCTCCCCCACTGCATAAGTTCGGTTTTTCTAACTGAAATTGGAATTCAAAGCAAAAAATGATAGTTTTTCTTCTCTTTGCATCTAGGAGGCGGTCGCTAGGAAGGAAAATGAATCCCCTTGTCAGTACGGTGCTGGCCAAAATGAGAAAGCAAAGGGCCAACAGCTTTCAGGCCAACTCTGAGAGGCTGGTGCAGCCCATGAGATGAGATGAAAGATTGGGCCTCGTTATTGATGTGCTTGGTGACATTATTTTGGAAAGCCAGAGAAGGGCTTCTACCTCCCGATCCTATCAAGACGCAATTGTGTGTTCTTGTAAGATAAACACAATAAGATAAGCCAGAAGAACCCTTATCAAAATAGACAGACCTCTCAGTCCAGAAATGACCCTCTTTGACCACACTGCCAGCAACTGCTGGAATTTCAATCAAACGAATCAGCTCATTTCCGCCTCCTCTGACGGTTGCTTTCAAATGTCACTACCAAATTACCGTTGGCCCCTCCGCAGATTACATTTTACAGAATGAAATCCGTGAGATAATCTTACTGGGGCGCTGGCCTCCCTGGTGAAGCTTTACTGATACAAAACTTTTCAAAAGATGCTTGTGAAATAGGCTGAATGGTCAGAGAGAGAGATGAAGTATTTGGTTTGTTACAAACTTGCCATCACTTTCTGAGTTTGAAGAGCTTCTCACTCCTGCCTCCGGGCACATTTCTGTTACATCTGAGTCCTACGCTCTGTGGCTCTGTCGGGGTAATGGAAGCAGCTCTCCAGCCCGCCTGAAAGAGCGGCTGGACGTGTGCTGTTCAGAACACCAACGCCCCAGGCAGGGGGAGTGAGCAGAACAGCCTGTGTGCGGGGGGCACAGCCAGTGCGCAGGCTCCGTCTAGAGCACTCGCTCACTCACTAGCAGAGACATCAGTGTAGGAGAAACATCAGGGCCTTTGGAGCAAGACTGGCTGAGGTTAAGATCCTGGATTTCCCAGGCACAAATTCTGTGGCATTCAGAAGACAGTGAATTTCTCTGAGCCTCAATTTACTCCCATGTAAATCAAGGATCACAGGGCCACTGTAGGATAAAACAAGCTGGTCTGGAATGCGGCTGCTACCGTGCCTGGCACGTGGCATGGAGCTCGGTAAAAGGCAGCTCTTCCATGGGAGAAGGACTCGTGCACTTTTGGAAGAACTGCCCTGGCACAGCTCCTCACTCCTGGTGGCAGGGGCATTGTCATGGCCCATGGCCGCGAGCCTCAGCTCTTGCCCTGTGCATTGTCCAGCTTCTGCCTGTTCCCTGGCCCCTGGCTACCACCAGGTTGTGCCCTTTGCCTCTGGGAGTATGGATGGTTCCGGGAAAGCCCCCTCTTATCCTGAAAAGCAGCTCAATCACACAACCTCTGCTTGATAAGGAGGAACCTCGGTGCCACCTCACAAAGGAGAAAGGAGGGGGCTGCTGGGACTCATTCAGCCTCCATCAGGAGGCTGTGTTCTCAGCTTCCTTCTTTCTCTTTGGCATGTCTCAGAATTCTTTAGACAGTCCCTGGTTCTGCCAAATGCTTCAAGGACCATCCCCAGCCTCCTCTCTCCATTTTGCTCTCCACAGTTGTCCTTCCTCCTCAGACCCAATTTTCACTTCTCCCCTCATCCCACCGGATTTCCACACTTCTACTCCCCCCACGCCCTGGGATGCCATCCTTATTCTCTCCAGCTCCCCACCCGACACTAGAGCTCGCCTGGCATCAGAAACCAATTTCAGTCAAAGTCCCAGCCCTCCACACGTCCAGAAGCTGGGCTTGGATGTTGGCCAAGAGATTAAAGGGTCATCCCAGGCCGTTCGCATGCCTTCTGCCCACCCTCCCGTGCCCCGAAGTGCAGAATCACTCTTGTGGTGATTGTAGCTCACCCCAGGCATGATGATTCGCTCAATGTCCCCGAAGATGCTGTCCCAGCTGTCAGGCTGCTCAGGCGCGCTCTCGGGCAGCTGGGCCCGCAGGTAGCCAGGCCGCACGTCCGGGGTCACCCGCCGCTCCCGCACAGTGCTCAGGTACTGGCAGATGTAATCCACCATCTCTTTTCCTACAAGGGAGGCAGAGAACCAGCCTTGTGTCCCCTGACTGGGCCTGGCCCATGTGTGCCTGTCCCCTTCATGTCTGGGCTAAGAAACTTGGTGCAAAGGAGATGGGTTCATGGCTGGGCAGGGGTCTGATCCCCAGTATAGGCCTTGTCTTCAGAATTTAAAAACGAGTGAGGGAGTGAATGAATGATGGAGAGAATGTGTGAGCGATGGGGAAGGAAAGGGGGGAGAGGATATGTGTAATACTCTCAAGTATAAAGATTTAAAATTATTTTAATGAAACTCCAGGGCCAATGTAAAACGATTCCTTTTCCTCCTCTTCCCTTGTTCATTTCAGCCTCACTCGTCTCTCCCGCCTTTCTTTTCTTCTCAAAAACAGAACATCTGTAATATCGTTGCCTTACAGGTTCAGTGGAAACTCTGTGGCTCTTTCTATCCAAAAATTGGTACACACACACACACACACACACACACACACACACACCTCACTCTGTTAGCACAGACGGCAAGTTCCCATGCCAGGTTCTGATTAAAGGTGAAAATCTGTCTGTTCACCATTCCCATTGGACCATAATTCCTCGTGTTTCTTAGACCCAGAAACTTCTTTAAGACTAGGTTTAAAACTATAGGCTGAAATACACACAAAATGTAGTCTGTGATTTCTGAGGGTCATGGAATCCCTAAAGCACACCCATAGGCCCCAACTAAAAACCCTGCACTAGCCTGAAATCTTATCTTAATCACTTTATTTTCCTCTTCTGCTTAGAACATTTTTTAGATGCTCAAAAAAAAAAAAAAAAAAAAAAGAATTACTAAATCAATGAACAAATGAATAAGGAAAAAAGGTTGCCAAGTTAGATATGCTGAAGCCATTGCAAATTATTTATTCTCTCTTTCAGTTCCGTTCTCCAGGAGAGGGTCAGTCTATAGTTCCTCTGTGTGTGTGTCTCTCTCTCCATTTCCCCGTCTGTGTCTGCGCATCCATCTCTCTGTCTCTCTCAATATCTATGATTCTCCTTGGTACTCCTTAGGCTCCTTTTCCCATGTAAAAAATAAAATAAAATAGAGAAAAGGAGAGGGAACCTGAGACTCTTCCCTCTGCACTACCTCATGCAAAATCCTTAACGAGCAGGACCAGCCACAGAAAAAACATTGACGAAGGCATAAGACTTTGCACCCTCCTCTCTTCCTCTGCTCTCCTCCAACCCTCCCGCAGCCCGATGCTTGTCGAGGCGGCAGCAGGACCCCGCCAGAGGTCTGAGAGCCCTGGCCCTAGCCCTCTGCTTGTCCAGTGACAGTATGAAATGTATTTGTGTTCCTTTCACACACAAGAACCTGCTCTCAGCTGAAAACGCCTTCAGAAAGCAATGGTAGAAACTGATGTGTAAAGCTGACAGCCTCTGAGTGAGCTATGCCTGGGTGGAGGAGAGGGAGAAGCTTGGATTTTAACACGGGACAAAAGGAATTTCAGGCAGTATAGCCTGATAGTGGAATGAGGACAAAAAAACTTACAGTGAGGGGAATTATAAGCAACGACCTACTCCCCCTCTTAGAAGAGTCATGCCTGAACACCGGATAACCATTTGGTTTTGCTCAGGACACAAGACCTGGTCCATAGTAGGTGCTCACTAAATAGTTATGAAAAATGTATGACTAAAAGAACACTGCTGATAAGTTCACACATAGAAAAAAATGAATCTTGCCCTGGCCGGTTTGGCTCAGCGGTTAGAGCATCGGCCTGCAGTCCAGAGAGACCCGGGTTCGGTTCCCACTAAGGGCATGTACCTCGGTTGCAGTTTGTCCCCGGCCCCGGTTGGGTCGTGTGGGTAGCGACCACTCGATATGTCCCTTTCACGTCGATGTTTCTCTTTCTCTCTCTCCCTCCCACTCTATCTGAACAAAATATCAAAAAAAATGTCCTTGGGTGAGGATAAAAAAAAGAAAAGAAAAAATGAATCTTAAGAAAGAACAGATTTTGCAGTGGCTACAGAACACTTAGGGAATGTTTTTCTATTTCAGAATATGAATAATCAACGCCCCTTTTGCCATGTAGTGGATAGGGAATCCAAAGCTTCTATTTTGTGGGAAAGCAGAAAAGAATGGCGTGGTAGAGTGGATGTGTATGAGAGTGGGTATGAGAGAGGGAGAATAAAGGAGAAGTGGAGAAAAGTTTTAAACTCTGATCCCAAGTTCCTGTCTCAGAAAAAACCTTGCAGCAGCCAATTCTCGAAAGGCAGTTCTCCCTTCCAGTCAAATGACACTGCAAAACCTAAGGACACACCAGCAACAGCAGTTTCTGCAGCTGGCGGTGGGGAAGAGGACCTGGGATGCCCATCGCTCACCTCTCTCTCTGTACTCCTCGGGCTCCATCATCTCAGTCAGTCTCTGGCTCCTTCTCACAGACTTGTAGGAGGTCGGAGGGACACTGCTGGGCAGCCAAAGGGGGCCCCTTATTTAAAGGGTTCTCCTTTCTTCAACCTTAGCTCCGCCCTTCGATAGCTCTTCCTCTAGGTAAATGAACCCACCCCCAGTCCCTGTGAGAAACAGTGACCAAGACTGTGTCTGGTCAGGAAGTGGAGGATGAAACGGGGCACTTAGCAACCCAAGCCTACAGGTAAATAAGGTGACGAGCTCTTAGTTCTTTCCGTCCCTGGATTCAGACAAGCCTCAGCCTCAGACACAGCTCACAGCTCAGTAGCCCAGAACAAAGCCAAGGGGATGCAGAATAAGAAGCACAAATTACTGGTATCACTCCTGCGCTGCCTCCCCCTCGGGGCAGGGAGGGAGGAGAAGGCGCACGGTGCGTAGGAACAGCAGAGGTTTTCATGTTGCACAATGAAGTAATTTTGTTGCTGCACAATACTTATTGTTGCAAAGAGATGAGAAAACACAGATAAGCAAAAAGGATAACAATCACCAGATGTGATCGCTTTTAGCACTTAAGAGGGTGTGTGAGTGTGAGTGTGAGTGTGTGTGTGTGTAAATAGACATGCAGAAACACAAATGTTCATAGCAACATTATTCAAAACAGCCAGAAAGTGGAAACAACCCAAATGTCCATCAACAGGGAAGTGGCTAAATACAATGTGAGATATCCATTCAGCAGATTCTTCCATAATAAAAAGGAAGCACTGACAGCATGGATGAGCCTTGAAACCATGCTGAATGAAAGTCGCCAGTCACGAAGGACCACATGTCACATGACTCTATTAATTTGAAATGTCCAAAACAGTCAAATCTATAAAGACAGAAAGAAGATTACTCCTTACTAGGGGCCGGAGTGGGGCATGTGGGGAGTGACAGCAAGGTTGACAGCAAGGGAACAGGGTTTGGGGGATTTTTTTTTTTTTTGTAGGGTTGTTTGTAAATGTTTTAAAATTGATTATTGTGGTTGTTGCACAACTCTATGAATATCCTAAAAGTACTGAATTGTACACTTTAAATGGGGGACTTTATAATATGGAATTATATCTCAATAGCTTTACCAAAAAAAAAAAAAAAAAAAAGGAAAGAAAGAAGAATGCCTAGTGAAAAAAAAAAAAAAATGGCCAAGTAGATTTGGACTCCAGTGGTACTACCAAAGTATGAATCTTTCATAAAAGCAGGGGTGGGGAGCCTGACCGGTGTGGCTCAGTGGATTGAGCATCATCCCATGAACTGAGAGGTCCCAGTTCTATTCCTGGTCAGAGCACATGCCCAGGTTGTGGACTTGATCCCCAGCAGGGGGCGTGCAGGAGGCAGCCAATCGATGTGTTTCTCTCACATTGATGTTTCTACCTCTTTCTCCCTTCCCCTGTCTCTTCAAAAAAAAAAAAAAAAAAGGAGGGGTGAGGAAAATAATATTGACAGTGATAATAGCTGACATTTATTGAGCCCATAAAAAGTACCAAGCACCAAGTTATGCAATTTAAATGGAAAACTATCACTTGTTTTCTCTGCAAGTGGTGATTCTGCTCCATTGTCTCTGTTCTATTTTTCTGCAACTCCAGTTATGCCCATATTAAACATTTTTACCTTCTCTCATAAGTATATAATTGTATATGTACATATGTATATACATATTATATATTATGATATATTCTGTGATATAGACATTATAAATTATATAAAGTATATTCTTTTCTTTATTTTCCATCTTCTTGTCTCCGGTTTTTCATTTGGAAATTTTTTTCTAACCTATTTTCCATTCTTCTCTTCAGATGTATCCAATATAATAATAAAAAAAAAAAAAAACTTGGTAAGAAATTAAAAACTATAAAAATAAATGAAAACTCTACAACTGAAGAAAATGCAATAACACTGAGAATAGGTTTATCATCATATTACAGTGATACCTCGGTTCTCGAACGCCTCGGATTTCGACCAAATCGGTATTCGACCAGGAGATTCGAGAAACTTTTGTATTGGAATCCGAACAAATATTTGGAACTCGAACTTCCGAGATGAGCCGAGTTGAGCCGAATGGCGTTCATTCGGCCCAGCGCGCCTTGCTTGCGTCATCAGTGTGAGTGCAGAGAGAGAGTCACGCTTTGTGGAGAGAGTCACGCTTTACACTGAATTTAACCCTTAGACATACTGTACACTTTAATTTCTTGTTGAGACTTATGTTTTTCTACATATTATATACAAATTAGGCCAGTAAATAGGCATTTTCTGGGGCTTGGAACGAATTAATCCAGTTTCCATTATTTCCTATTGGGTTTCATTGCTTCGGTTCTCGAGCAATTTGATTCTCGACCGTCCTCCTGGAACGAATTATGTTCGAGAACCGAGGTATCACTGTAGATACTTTTCCTTCATCATCATTTTCCCCAATTGCTCACTTATTCAAGGAATATTTATTGCCTTCCTTCTCTTTTACAGTGGGTGATACAGTGGTGATACTGTCTTAGTAGACAGATACCAACTCAAGGCATATAGATAGTTTATAATCTAGAAGGACAGATGCTACAAAGGTTTTGTTTTTTGTTTGTTTTTTTTCAAATCTTTATTGTTGGATGTAAAATGTATTACAGATGTTCCACATTTTTCCCCCATTGACCCCCTCCTCCCCACTCCCGCCCCCCTCCCACCTTTTCCCACAATATTGTCTGTGTCCATTGGTTATGCATATAAGTTCTTTGGTTTATTTCTTCCCACCCCCCCAACCCCTTTCCCTTTGAGGTTTGTCAGTCTAGCAATGAATTTGTGCTTCTTAATCCCTTCACCTTTTTCACCCATTCCCCCAACCCCCCTCCCAACTGGCAACCAACAGATATTCTCTGTATCTATGAGAATGATTCTGTTCTACCTGTTCATTTTGTTTGTAGATTCCATTGTTGATAGATATGTATTCATTGCCATTTTGTTTGTTCATACATTTTATTTTTTTCTTCAAAAAGACCCTTCATCATTTCATATAATAACAGTTTGGTGGTGATGAACTCCTTTAACTTTTTCTTGTCTGGGAAAGTTTTTATATGTCCATCGATTCTAAATGATAGCTTTGCAGGATAGAGTAATTTTGGTTGTAGGTTCTTGGTTTTCATCACTCTGAATATTTCTTGCCACTTCCTTCTGGCCTGCAAAATTTCTTTTGGGAAATCAGCTGACAGCCTAATGGGAACTCCCTTGTAGGTAACTAGCTGCCTTTCTCTTGCTGCTTTTAAGATTCTCTCTTTGTCTTGAACCTTTTGCATTTTGATGATGATGTGTCTTGGTGTGTGCCTCTTGGGGTTCATCTTGTTTGGGACTCTCTGTGCTTCCTAGACTTGTATGTCTCTTTCCTTCACCAAGTTAAGAAAGTTTTCTGCCATTATTGTTTCAACCAGGTTTTTGATTTCTTGTTCTCTCTCTTCTCCTTCTGGCACCCCCAAGATGCGAATGTTGGCACACTTGAAGTTGTCCCAGAGGCTCCTTACACTATCCTCATTTTTTTAAATTCTTTTTTCTTTTTGCTGTTCTGATTGGGCATTTTTTGCTTCCTTATATTCCAAATCAATGGTTTGCTCCTTGGATTTACATACTCTATTATTGAAGCTGTGTACGTTATTCTTTATTTCAGTTAATGCCTCCTTCAATTCTAATTGTGTATCCATGATTTTTAACTTGTCCTTTTTTATGCTCTTGAGGCCCTCCCTAAGTTCACTGAGGTTCTCACTAAGTTCATTGAGCATCCTTATAAACAATATTTTGAACTCACTATCTGTTAGATCGCTTATCTCCATTTCTCTTAGTTCTTTTATGGAGGTTTTGTTTTGTTCTTTCATTTGGAACCTGTTTCTTTGTCTCCTCATTTTGGCTGCCTCCCTGTGTTTGTTTCTGTGTGTTACTTAATGAGAGGTAAGGGGCTCGCTGAGACCAGATGCTGCTCATTTGAAAGAATTTAGGAAAAACCTGAAGCAGGATCCAAGACAGGCCAATCCTATGGTTAAGCAAGTGGCAACAGCTTGGGTGGGCTTGAAAGTTGGGTGGGGCGGGGCGGGGGACCAGTGTGAGCCAGGTTGCTGGAGTCCCAGATATGGCGACTGTCTGCTGCCCCAGGGAAGGGCTCACCAAAGGAACAAAGGCCTCTGTCTGCACATCTGCCTCAGAGAAAGCCCCCTCTCCAGCCCTCGCTCCAGTGCCAAACAGCTCAGTTCTTCCCTGTATGTCTCTGGTGCCCCTTGAGCTGCCTCCCCTCCAAGCTTAGAGGGAGAGGGTCCGACAAGTCCGTGCACGGGCCCTTTAAGGAGCTGCCTGGGGCTCCAGTTGCTTCAGCCTCCCTGAGCCTCAGTTCCCGCTGGTTTTTCCAGCCAGAAGTTATGGGGACTTCTCTTCCTGGCACTGGAACCCTAAGCGGGGCACCTGGTGTGGGACGGGGACCCCTCAGTCTTCAGGAAGGACCTTCCCAGCCGCGGGAGCCTCCTGATTTTTATTCGCCACACGTGGGTGTGGGACCAGCCCGTCGCGCCGCCGCTGCCGCCCCTCCTACCAGTCTGGATGTGGCTGCTTCTTTAATCCCGTAGTTGTAGGACTTCCATTTAGCTTGATTACAGGCAGTTTTGAATGATGGTTGTTCTGTAGTTTAGTTGTAACTTTGATGTGGTTGTGGGAGGACGCGATACCGTGTTTACCTACGCCACCATCTTGACCGGAAGTCTACAAAGGTTTTTTTTTATTATCCTTGCCCGAGGATATTTTTTCATTTTTTGTTTAGCTAGAGTGTGGGAGGGAGAGAGAGAGAGAGAGAAACATCGACGTGAAAGGGACACATCGAGTGGCTGCCACCCACACGACCCAACCAGGGCCGGGGACAAACTGCAACCGAGGTACATGCCCTTAGCGGGAACCGAACCCGGGTCTCTCAGGACCGCAGGCCGACGCTCTAACCGCTGAGCCAAACCGGCCAGGGCTACAAAGGTTTTTTGAGAGGGGCATTATTGGGTGTCAAGTTGGCATACAAAGGTGCTGGGAGCCTTCCCTAATTTGGGGGGCAGAAGGGAAATTTTGATGAGGATATGTGTTGACTCTAAGAC